ACCCTCGCCCGCGGCGGCGTTGCCCCCACCCCCAAGCCCCACTCCACTGCGGCCAGATACTATCTACATCGAACACAAGATCCTGATCCTCACCACTCCTGGTGAGCTTGAAGGTTCAAACCTCTGCCAACCGAAACCTGTTGTGCACTCTAGTTCTTGCTTGAGCGCAAAGGCAGCATTGTTTCACGACTGGGCTGCCCCAGAGCTGCAGCCAGGAATGCCTCACCCACAACAGACCAAGTGTCAAGCCGAATGGGTGCACGCGCAGAGCATGGTGGCTACCTGTGCAGGGCGCGCAGCGGCATCAGCGCTACCGCGCAAACCTGCCAACCTCACTGCGGCAGTGACGGCTCGTGCTGCTTGTCAACCAACATGGGGCCGCAGAACCCGTACACAGTTTCAAAGCAGCCCCACACCTTATATGAGAAACCCATCACAAACCCTGCGACTAACCTTTTAAACAGGCTTCACGGAGATCGATTTTCTCGAGGCGATTTTCAAGGGCTATGGCACCCCTTACGACATCGTGCGCTGGGACGTTGACAACGTCAGCCCCCCAAAGCCAGACCTGACCACGCTGCTGTGGAACGCTGATGGCTCAGCCAGATACTCCTCCTATGTTATGTGAGAATCCCTGAGGTCTGATAACCCAGGGAAAGGGGTGGAGACGGGGGAGACGGGGGAGAGCGTCCAGGGGTCAAGCACACCCGAGGCCTGCAATGGGTTTGAAGACCGAGCATGCCCGCCGTGCCCACTGGGCATGGCATCTGACCACAACACCTTGCACATGCCCCTTGGCCACGTTGCCCCTGAACGATGAATGCATCACGCCCGCCATGCAGGTTCCCTCATCTGGAGGAAGCCAGCCTCATGAACAAGGCGGAGATCGACACCCTGTAGGACTTTGCGCGCCGCACCGGCGCACGCAGCCTGCACGTGAACATCTGGCTGGGCACCATCGGCTATGGCTCCTACGGGACCTGCACTGCTGATCAGGGCTCGCTGTTTTCTCTCACGGCCGTGACCCCCGTGGGCGTGTCGGGAATCAACCTGGGGAGTGCTAAGCTCAACTACACAGGCATCTACAGGTGCAGACCCGGGAAGGCCGGCCAATTGGACAGCTGGCAGGTTGCATGTTTGACCGTGCTTGACTGCCATCTACCAAGGGCGCCAAACGCCTCTGCCGCAGGGCAGAGTGCCTTTCCCACATGCACTTGGTTGCATGCCTGCTTTAGGGGCGAACCTGCACAGTATCCCATCCCGGCCCCGCTTGCCCGGGCGTGCATCCTGGGCTCGACGTGCCGACCCGCAGGTGCCCCGCAACCGGCCTCCCTTCTGGCCAGTGCACATTGTACAATGTCCCCGCCATAAACGGCACGGCAGGCGTTGCGGGCAGCATTATAACCAACTGTTCGGTACAGCCCATCGTCATTCAAGACTCTGACGGCGGCGTCGTGGCTGCGCTGACCACGTGAGCGATTTGCCCAGATGCTGCAATCCAGTGCTGGGGTATCGTTGGAGAGGTTATCAGGCTGCATTGCTGCCTGGCTGCGAAGCGAGTTGGCACAGGGTGTACCTTATTAGTGCAGCAGGGGTTGCACGCCTCCTGATTGATGACGACAAGTCCCTCAACTTGCCGCCCTCTTGCTCCTGGGCCGCCCCCATGCCCCGGGAAACCTTCCCCAAACGATGCCCATGCAGGTATGATGACGGGCGAGAGACGATGTCATTTATGCACGGCTGTGCGGCCTGGAGCTCTTCATGCCTGCTGCTGGGCCACATGGCGCTGGCGTGGCTAACCCAAAACATCATTCCCGGGGAGAGGGCCGCTCTGCTGACTGTGCAGGTGATCACATACGCGTTCTGGGCGTTGGATATTTGACAGTTGGGCAGGCAAGCGCATAGGTTTGCGGATGCGGCCTTACAGGAGAGGGTGCACAGAAGCGCAAGTGCAGTGCCAGGCCCAGAAAAGAGATAGCCAACAGTGCAATTTAAGTCGCCAGCTGCCACCAACATGCCATGCTGCACAAGCACCTTACCACCAAGGAGGGGTGGGTTCCAAACCACACACCTGGATGCTGTGTGATGCTTTGTGACAGCCATAAACATCAAGCTTGAGCCTTGACCCCCTCTCCTCAATCACCTAACCCAGCATCCACCTGGCCCTCCCTCTACCCTACTCTTGGCTCTCTCAGACTGATGACGTGTTCCTGTCCACATACCAGGACGACACCAACACCTACTTCCCGCATTGGCCCATCAGATCTGAATGCCCACATCGCCTGGCAGGACAGCCTCAGGCGCCCAAACTCAATCCGCGGCATCTCGTTGCCTGCCGGCTCGTCCATCAAGTGCGCGCGCAGCAGGGTTTTGGATGGGACACCCTGCATGCTGCTCTCTTACAGCATGCTTCGTGTCGCGGGAGTGCGCTGCTCCGATGATTTTTGAAGTTTCAAGGGTCGGACAGCCAGGCGCAGGCTGCCGATGAACCCACTGATCTTGCGGGTTTCTGTTTTCACGTAATGCACACCTGCCATCCTACTTGGCCTCTCTGCTTCTCAGGCTTCCCCCTGCAACATCCTCCCTGACGCTTGGCACGGCGGCCGCAGGATCGAGCTCCCTTTCAACGGCAACGGGATCCTTGATTACGCACGCACAGCCCTGGCCGTGGACGATGGGTCCTGCAGCGGCAGCGACCAGTACATTGCCCTCAACTGCTCCTGCTGGCTGGTTAGTAACGCGTCCTGCCCCACAACGCAGCCCGATTTCTGCAGAAACTGCACAAAGGACTGGCCCAAGCCTGCGGGCTTTGGCACCAACAGAGTGCCAAATGTGAGTGGGCCCAGCAAGCGCCTTGTATGGGGTGGTGGCCTTGGCTTGAGTTTTTGAACAAGCCAATCTAGCAGCACACCCTCATACGCAGGACTTGACACCGTTTGCATTCCTCCTCATGCCTAACACCTCTGCCATCTATGCTGCGACCCCCTCTCTTCTTGCAGCCACTGCCCAGCAACTTCAACCCCAATAATTGGCAATCGACGATCAGCCAGGACCCTTTGGCGGCTGCTGTGCTGGGGGATATTGGTGGAGCGGCCACACTGTGAGGACAACAGCTCGTGTCGGGTCCCGGCTGCCGCTGCGGGAAGGTTGACTCAAAATTGCAGCAACGGCCGCGTCATCTTGGGAACCAGTGTCCTGCATGACCCCCACATGCCAGTTCTTGTATCAACGCTTCGGCCATGTTGACAAGCCCCCCTCGGGGACCCTATGCACGCAAACCTCTTCCGTTGGTGAAGTTCACGCACGAGACTCTGGACAACGCCACGCTATACGACGCCACCCAGCAGCTCTCCCTGAACAAGCAGATGGCGGTAAGCCAGGGTGCAAGCAGGCACGTGCATTTTCACAGACGCCATTTGCCCCTGACCTTGGAGCGCGAGCAGAATCAAAGAATTTGGTAGACGGTGATTTCGCCTTCGTCCTCAACACAACCTGCCCCGTCCACTGCACTGCTGGCCGACGCACGACTCCCTGCAGGACAAGCTGGGCCTCACACCCAGGACGGTCTCCAGCTCTCAGTGCATGGTCACCCCGGGCATCAGCGGCCTGTCAAACGGGGACACCCTGCAGGGGCTGTGGCAGAACGGGCTGCAGTGCGCTGTGGGGGACAACACATGGGCGTACCTCAAGAACACAAACAACGTGCACCAAATGCTCTACACGACACAGGTGCAGTGCTTGTGCTGATCAGGACACCCTTGTTTGCCAGTGTTGACTGCACGAGCTCAGCCCCATCATGAGGGCGCACGGCGGCCTGCCCAGCATTGTTGTGCCTGCAGGTGGAGTAGACGCTCTCTGCAGATTTGACAACCAATGTGACAGCATGCCTCAGCACCCAGATGAGTTGAACTCACATCTATGGACCCCTCCACAGGCGACCAGTGGTTTCGCCAACTTCGCCATCCTGCCGCGCTGGGCTGCAGGTGTGGGCAGGCTGAAGTCTGGTGTCCGTGAATACGCTCGGGCATGTGATTGAGACCGGGTTTCAGCCCTGGCTCTTGCTTGACTGCTGATCATGCACGATAATCCCCCCTCATTTACATGCACGCACACCAACTCCAGAGATCTACTTCAACTGCAGTACAGTGGCCCAGAACGTGGCGCTGTACCATGGCATCTACCCCTCCATAACTGATTACACGATCGACGCCATCCTGGCCAGAGAGTCCACCCGCGTGCTGTCCAACGTGCTGGCCCTCCGCAAGGACCCGTGAGTCGGCTCCAGGGCGCACCGAGCAAGCGCCGGCGGCTGCTTGCTTGCACGTTGTGAATTGTTGCGGAAGGGCGGGGTCAAATCACACCCAAATGATCGCTGCCGCGCTGGCCTGCCCTCACCCATTTGTCGTCGTGAACGCTAACGGGGGCGTCACGGCTGCGCAACGCCTCTGGCACAAACTGTACATGCAGGCACATGATGCATCAGGCCAACCTGAGAATCGAGTCTGATGGGTGCGTGGGCGAAAGCTCTTGTGGACTGGAGATGCTTGTGCACACGTCGGGCAGCGTGCACACAACCCTGAAAGTCAGTGTTCGTGAACAAGCGCGCAAATCTCAAGATTGTCCTCTGCTGCTCTCTGCAATCGACTCGCATGCAGGATTGCTTCACTCCGCATGCAACACACATGGTCTGAGCTCTGAGGGCCGGCTTTCCACCTTGCTATGCGCAGTTTGAGCCTGGTGATGCGCTGGGTGGAGGCGGTCCTGCATAAAGTCACCGCCTGCGTCACCTGGCCCGTCCGCTCCCTCAAGCTGGACGACCTCCAGCAACTGTTTAAGCTCAGGGAGCAGCGCGACAACTGCAACCTCTTATACAGGCTGGCGGTGTCAACGGCCACCAATAAGGTCACCGCGATCACAGTCACCAGCCTGCCGGGCACGACGTCAGGGTGCAGCGCACCCCTGACGGTGGGCGCGGGGGCTACCATTACGGGCGGCGTCGCCGACACGACGGACGCCGCCGCGCCGCTGTACCGTGTCGCGCTCGCCGCGGGAAGGACTGCCACCAGCCTGGATTGGAAGCCAACCAGTGATTCCAAGACCATTAGTGTTTTGCTGGACACCTGCTAGCCCGCCTTTGAGATGCACCGCATGTGTGCACACCCTGGTTGGGGTTCTCGGCCACATGGTTGGACATGCGGCAAAACAACTAAGAGTCTATCACACGGCAAGCACCCAATGGCCTTACTCAACCTCATGGGATCTTTATGGTCAAACAACAAATGCTTTGGGGTCAAATGACTCAAGATCGTCATCTGAAGCAAAGTGCACCAGAGCCTTGCGGTTGATCTGTCCCGTTTGGTTCTGCATCATCAAGCTGGTGGCACTGCATTGTCGGCGCACGCCTGACAGGAGCATGCCGCACATGACTCCGCATTCCAGCCTACGCGTTTGGCGCGTGGGGTGCACCATCGTCAGTGTGTGCCACCCAACCAACATGCTATGGCTTTGTTGGAGGGCGTGTTTTGTCAACAAGTATCACAATAATTTGAGACACGATTGCGGCTTCTTTAGGTGCAATGCTGTGCACCCGTGCAGAGCCGTCAGGTCAACGGATGCCTGTCCGCGTACTGCTTACTGGTCAACGTGTTGACTCATCCAATCTGGAGGCAACAGTTTGTCTCACTTCCGGTGCCCATTGTGTTGCGACCTGTGCACCCATGGTTCAGGTGCACTCATCTGTTGCAAGGCACAGTTTGAATGTTTATGAAGCCTTCAGGGCCCGAGAGTTCCATCACTGATGCCCTTACAACCTGCGTTGCCCGCTGGCTTACTGCTCAGATTTTGGTGCCGGCCCAGATGCGCGTATACAAGTATATGTATGGATGTTGCATGGCGATCTTGCCTGTATGGACTCTGCATAGCAAACTCTGCCCCTCCTTTCAACGACACCTACTACATGTATGCACAGCGTTTGGGGGCTGGCTATGTTTTCTGCGACTATTTGGCCCGGAAGTGTTGGCTGGCCCACCCTTAACATCACAATTGCGTACGCAGTTAGGTGCCTTCCCGTGATCCTGCTGTTTGGTGATGGGGATTTGCCCGGCGCAGCTGCGGTGGCTCGCATGCCCCTGCACTTGATGGGTTCAAGAGTCCCTGGCCATCTTGTATGACTCGTTTGCAACTGCCTCAGCTATGTAGCGCTGTACAGCAATGTAAGGCTTTGAGGTGCAAGCAAGTGGCGCAGTCGACCCAGCTCGCGCACGCTGTGCCAAGTAGGAGCCGCCGCAGCAGGTCACATGATCACAGGCACCTTCTGCTGTTTGGGGCATGCCGTCGTTGCATGCATGCTACGATGGCGGTCATATGTATAAGCTAATTCGCTTCGTCTACAACAGAACAGCTCCGTTCCTTAAAATGTTTGTCGAACAGACAGATCTCCGTCACAGCTGTCAGTAATACAGCGATGGCGTGAATTTGCCTAAATCACAGCTTTTCGGAGTACGACAAAACCTTAACGCACGCATCTATGGATCCCGCAACCCAGGCCGTGGCGGACCGCGTGGAAGCGGCGCTCGCGCTTGTCTGCGACCCAGCATTGCGCGCCGCCACCCGCCGCAGGGCCGGCGCCTCAAAAGCACGGCGCCTGCTCTTGGACGCCGGCAAAAAGATACACACGGCATGCGCGGCGCTGCCGCATGGGCTGCAGCTGCGCCCCACGGCAGTGGCATCCCTGCTGGCTATGTTGGTCGACGAGTCAGCCAGCGTGCAGGAGGTGGATCTGGCAATCGCTACCTGCGCCTGCTTTCACGAGGCGCCTAGCTGCTTGCGGCAGGTGCGTGCGCGGCCGTGGTGTTGCTGCTGCAAACAAGGAGGAGGAGCAAGGAACGCTGGCCGCTGCTCCGGCCGACACACGCTGGCGCCGGACGGCGGGCGCCGCAGCGCGCCCCCGGAACCGAACTGGCCTGTACATTCGTTTCATTTTATGGTGCTGCTCGCCAGCGCAGCGGCTTGCACCAACCAGCTCTGCTTGCGCCCGCCGATGCCCCCCGCCAGATGGCCGACGCAGGATACGCCCGGGCACTCGTGCGTTTGGCCGCGCGCGGCGATCTCAGCCGCGTCTCGCTCAACCTCGCGTGCAACGTCTTTGAAGCTTTGTGCCAGTGCAGGCCCTCAGTGACGGTCGCCCTGCTTGCTGCGCCCGAGGATGCAGTTGGCGTCCTCATTGCTGCAGCGAAGGTCCAAGGGACACAGGAGTGTGCGTACGGGCCGCTGCTGATGCTTGGGGTGCTGTCGTCAGCTTCGAAGGCGGACGGCAGCGAAGACAGCGTGGCGGCGGCGGCGGCAGCGGCGGCAGCGGCGGAGCGCATTGCGGAAGACGAGGCTCTTATGCAGGTCGTGCGCCGCCACCTGGCCGGCAGCCAGGTGTTTGAGCCAGCCCTGCGGCTGGTCAAGGCCCTGCTGAGCCACCTCTCACGCCGCTGCCCGCGGGAGGCCGCCGTCGCCGCGCTCGGCGACGGCTCGCGCGTGCTGCTCGGCGGCAACGGGGTGCGGCTGGACGACCCTCGACTGAACGACAGGCTCTATGTGCTGGCGCTGCTTGTTGCGGCGTGCGGCGATGAGCAGCGAGCGGCCGTGGCGGCCGTGATCGCCGAGCACGGCATCGTCACGCTGCTGCTCAAAGCGCTGTCCCATCAAGACTTTGCTGTCCGCGCCAACACCGCCGCGCTGCTGGTCGTGCTCTGCAGCTTCCCCATCTCCTGCGCGGCCGTCTCCGCGCACCCGGCAGCGCTCGCCGCGCTGTCCAGCCTGCTGCGCGCCGCTGGCGCCGTGGCGGGCAAAATGGATGCTGACGAGGCGCGCGAGCTCGACGTGCTCGCGACTGACGCGCTGCAGGCGATCTGCTTCCTCATGGCGCCGAGCGCCGCCGCAGGCGACGCGTTTGCCGCGATGGCGCTGGCCCCAACAGGCTATGGCATCCTGGACGCGGTGGAACGGCTGCTGACGACGCCTGCAGCAGGCGACCCCGCTGACGTCAGCGCTCGTCGCTACCTGCGAGGGCTGGCCGCCGCCGCCACCGCCCTCAGCGCCATCACGC